AGAGGGGGAGGCCTTCAACGAGATGGATTGATACAGTGGCTGCGATGATGGGCTCGAGTATAGCAGGGATTGTGGGGCTGGTGCGGGATTGGGCAGTGTTTCGTTCTGCTGTGCATGGGGTCGCTATGAGTCAGAAACGACTCGACGGCACTTAACAACAACAACAACAACATTGTCTTTTGAAATTGTTCTAGGGTTTTGTCTGTGTTTTCTTTAATTTTGTCAGTGTGTTCCTTGATCTGTCTCTCAATTTGTTGAAGGTACCTAAATATAATTCTTTTGAATTCCTTCCTAGGGAGTTCCAATGCTGTGTCTTCTCAGGAATGTGTTTTGGGTCTGTGTCCTGGTCCCTTATTTCTCCTGCTTTATCTTGCTTCTTTGTGTGGGCTATGATGCTTTGTTGTCTCTGAGGCATTGTGATGTTTTTGTGTTTTATTTAATTGGTGATTGTATGTTGGAGTGACTTTCCCACGATATTCATTTTCTTTGTTTTGTTTGTGTGTTATTACGTAAGCAGTGTACTGTGCTGTGCTCCTCTATTCACTAGTTGGCAGCACTTATACACTCACCACCTGTCTCCTTTCCTGTTGTCTGCCTCCCATATATCTGTAATGTCCTTGGCAAATGGAGACTATTCTTAGGTCCCTGGTTTCTGAAAGAGAATGCTGTCACTTTAAATCCAAAATGGCCACCACTTATAAACATTCAAAATGGCTTTGCCCTCGGTCATTTTAAATATCCAAAATGGCTGCCCTTGTAAACATCAAAATAGTTGCACCCTCAGTCACTTTAAATATCCAAAATGGCCGCTGCATGTAAATAGTCAAAATGACTGCACCTCCAGACAGCTGAAAGTCCACAGCTCAGGTTGTCTCCCTCCTCAATGTTTCCCTTCCTGGTCATAGGCCACCAGCACAGTTGTCCCTGCAGCCCTTGGTAACCAGGGCTGATCTTTAGGTCAATTCTTGGGGCCCATCACCACTTGGAAATATTCAGGCTGTTGGTCCTGTCAGAGTAGCTGACAGTCCACTGCTCTGACTGTCTCTGTACTCACTGTTTTTGTTCGGGTTTTTCCACTAGTTGGTGCCTAATCCACTTCTGTATACTTCCTTTCAAAGCTCAGGGCTCCAGGATTATCTTCTGTATCTCTGTCAACTGGTTCTCTTTTCTAAAACTTTTAAAACTCAACAGTAAACTTAAACTAAAGGGTACAAACCTGTTGAAGAGGGTCTGTGGAGCTTGTCTGCCTATTGCACCATCTTGTCAGAAGACCAGATCGTTGATTTCTTGCCTGTTGCTTCCATGGGAGTTGATTGTGGATTCAAGTAAAATGAAATCTTTGACAACTTCAATCTTTTCTTCATTTATTGTGCTATTACTTCTTGGTCCAGTTGTAAGAATTTTTTTTAAATCTTTAGATGTAATCTGTACTGAAGGCTGTAGTCTTGATCTTCATCAGTAAGTGCTTCAAGTCATCTTCACTTTCAGCAAGCAAAGTTGTGTCATCTGCATATTACAGGTTGTTAAATGCTCTTTCAATGTCTAATATGGTTTACTCTGTTTTTTTTCCCTCTTAGCGGATCTGAAAAGAACAATTGCTGTCCTTTTGGATGACATTTTACAACGCTTGGTGAAGCTGGAGAACAAAGTCAACTATATTGTTGTGAATGGCTCAGCAACTAACACTACCAATGGTACTAGTGGGAATTTGGTGCCAGTAACCACAAATAAAAAGATGAATGCATCGGGCAGCATTAGATAGCAGTTGAAGATCACCTTGTGCTGCTACATCCACCATGGATTATATCCTGTGGTAGAAAAGCTTTTTAATTGCTGATTGGGAGACAGAGTAGTAATTAATAATAAAAGCTCTATGCATTTTCAAAGAGTATGCTGGATTCATGGAACTCTAATTCTGTATATAAAATTTTTAAAGTTATTAGTTTGCATTCAGCAAGTCTTTTCAATGCTGTATTATATGTTTAAGGGGAATTTGATAACATGGTTGATGTAGTAAGCAGGTAGGTGATCTTTGTATAAATCCTTTGTGTTTGAGATCAAACTGAAACAGAAACACTGAAAGATCTGGATTCATTTCTATATTTATTTAAAATAAAACTTGTTTTTCAGACAGGTAGAAAATATTGTCATTGAATCGTTCTGTCATTTGTTCTCAATAGATAGAACTGTTAGACTAATGCTGTCAGAAAATATGCTTACTTCTACTGCTATATTTTGTTACTCAGATTATGAGCGAAGAAGGAAAGTATAATGTTAAAAATAATGTTTTGAAATTATGACCCAAAGAATGTCTTCACTTGCACTATCTTTCAGTATAACTGAAGGTTAATTATTGCATATTTTTAAAAATTACATTTGTAGGAGTGTAATCTTGATATGGGTAGCAGCCACTGTTCATGACCTATTCAAAAACTGGGGCAATTTAATAACAACATTAAAATAGTAATCTCTAACCTCATAGTTAATACTTTCTTATGTATATTCTAAGGATTAAAAGATATTTTTATGATAAGATTAAAAATATTAAATCCTGATTTTTCACTACATGAAGTTTAATTTAAAAGTTTAACTGTTTGAGTATCTGTGCTCTCAGGAAAGCACATTATCCACAGTTGATTATCTTTGCTGTTATTATGTTGGAGGGAGATGAAGTGAGTATTTGAGAGACTTGAACTCCTAAGGTCTTTAGCCAGTTGTATATAATAAAGGTATTTGTGCTGCATTAAATTGCTTGGAAAATGTTAACATTAATATTATATAAGAATATCCCACTTTATGAAATTCTGTATTTATATAACAGATAGATTAGATTTTCATTTTATATAATGACCACTTAAAAATAATTAAGAACATTTAAAATATAATTTAAATTATGAAGAAAGACTATCTTTTCAGGAAAATAGCTATTATATATAGCACCAGAGATCCTAATCTTGGGGAATTCTAATATAAAGCAAAGTATACTTTTATTTAAACTTCTCTTGTAGCATATCTATTACCATAATGGTGCCCTATGTTTCATGGTATTTATTCATGGTATAATAACTGCTTAAGTTTAGCTAGCTTTTAGAGTTAGAATATGTTGAATTTGTATTAGATATTGTTCATTATTAAAAGATGCTACTACATGTAGTAGCAATAATTATAATATTTTATTAAAATAAATATGAGAAAATATTGTTTTATTGAAAGGTAGTTTTCCATACTCTTTTCTCTACAATCTACCTATATGTGAAGACATTAAGTATATACTATTGCCAAGTGAAATTTGAAATAATTGTTCAGTCTCTGTTATTAGTTGTGGACATCTTTGTTTTTTGTTTTCAGGGATAAAATAAAATATATTATTTGTACTTACAAAGTGTCATCATAAGTTTTTTTTTTTTTTTTAAATGGTGGTTGTATATTTAACAAATGGTAAATGATTAAAAAGAATCATTTGGGGTTTTGTTCTATCAACTCCAATCACCAATTAAATATAAACACAATTTTCATTTTTAGGGTAGTTTATAGAAAAATTGTGCAGAAAGTAGAGTTCACATATGCCCCTTCCCCCTACACATTGTTTCTCCTATTAACATCTTGTAATTGAGATAATTTTTTCAAAAGGGAAAAATTGAAAGCTACGCATTAGTGCCTTGTTTGATGCCTAGGCCAGGATAGGTAATCTGAGTCTAGGGATAGATGGGAAACAAGTCTGGAGATTGTGATAGGAGGATGTTCCTAGGTTTGTACCCTTTAGTTTAAGTTTACTGTTGAATTTTAAAAGTTAAGCTTTAGTATTTATATCTTCAGATAAACTTGGTTAATTGAGACATTAGCACAGAGGGCATCACTAGAGGTACTAAACACTTTCAAATTGATATCAGAATAGTTTTGGGTATATGTTAAGCACTCTACTGATTAAAGAATAATTTAAACATTATTTCAGGTAGTTCATGTTAACTTGGGTCTCAGTCTTCAAGAAGCACTTATGACTGTCACTCCAGTGGTAGGCTGTAGTGGCTTAAGGCCACAGTTTTAGGGGAAGACTTTATAATTCCTTGTTTTGAACTGATAGAATCTACTTCACTTTATATCTCAGAAACATAAAGTATGAAAATTACATGGCAGCAGCTTACATAGGGAACCTCTGACTTGCAGATTTGGTTTAATTGTAAACAATATTCTGTTTTTAATCAAATATTTTTGAGCTGAATAACTATCAATGTGTCTACATTATTTTCCTTTTGTTAGAAAAGTGTCTGCCTAAATGGGGCATGATATAATGAAACAGGCAAAATATGAGTTACTTGAAATTCACTCAGGACAATTCTTGAAAATCTTTATTTGATAGAGTGGTAGGGTTCATCATTTAAGAACAAGCTTTGAAAGAGAGAGAGAGAGAGAGAGAGAAGGTATATGAGAATAAATATAGAGAAGAAAATGGCAGGGATGGGTGGGTCTGAAATATAACAATGGATAACTGCTGTGATATTTTAGTACATAAAAATGTAAAGCTGGGAGACTTCCACTAAGATGGCAGAATAGGCAGACAAGCTTCACAGATCCTCTTCAACAAAGAAAAGAGAAACCAATTGACAGAGATAAAGAAGATAATTCTGGAGACCTGAGCTTTGAAAGGAAGTATACAGAAATGGAATAGGCACCAACTAGTGGAAAAACTTGGATGAAAACACTGAGTACGGAGATGGTCAGAGTAGTGGACTGTCAACTACTCTGACAGGACCAACAGCCTGAATATGTACAAGTGGTGTTGGGCGTAAGAATTGCCCTAAAGATCAGCCCTGGTCACCAAGGGTTGCAGGGACAACTGCACTGGTGGCCTAAGACCAGGAAGGGAAACAGTGAGGAGGGAGACAACCTGAGCTGTGGATTTTCGGCTGTCTGGAGGGCCATTTTGATTTTTTACAGGCAGTGGTCATTTTGGATATTTAAAGTGACCGAGGGTGCAGCCATTTTGAATGTTTACAAATGGTGGCCATTTTGGATATTTAAAATGACCGAGGACAAAGCCATTTTGAATGTTTAAAAGGGGTCGCCATTTTGGATTTTAAAGTGACAACATTCTATTTGGATTCCAGGGACCTAAGAATAGGCTTCGTTTGCCAAGGATGGCAGGGACATATGGGAAGCAGACAACGGGAAAGGAGACAGGTGGTGAGTGTATAAGTGCTGCCAACTAGTGAATAGAGGAGCACAGTCCAGTACCCTGCTTACATAGACAACATACAAACAAACAAAACAAAAATCGTGGGCAAGTCATTCCAACATACAATCCCCAATTAAATATAAACCCAAAAACGTCACAGTGTCTTGGAGACAACAGACCATCACAGACCACACCAAGAAGCAAGATAAAGCAGGAGAAACAAGGGACCAAGATGGGAACTCCCTGATAAGGAATTCAAAAGAATTATATTTAGGGACCTTCAACGGATTGAGAGACAGATCAAGGACAAAATTGAGGAAAACAGAGAAAATCCTAGAACAATTTCAAAAGACAATACAAGAACAAAATGACAAAATAAATGAAAAATTAGAAATGATACAAAATCTACACATAAAAATCCATAAGATTAATACTAAATTGTCACAAATAGATAACTCATTGATTGGGCAAAGGAGTAGAATTGAATGAATGGAAGACAGAGTCAGTGACATTGAAGGCAAATACCTGAATGCCTTTGGAAAGGGAAAAATCAGGAAAAGATCAAAACAAAATGAAGAAAGCCTAAGGTTCATGTGGGATACCATCAAAAGGAATAACCTACCTATAATCAGAGTTCCAGAATAGGAAGTGACAAATAAAACCAAAGAAAAAATTATCCAAGATTTGTTGGAAGAGAATTTTCCTGGTATGATGAAAGATGAGAATATATCCATTCAAGAATTCCAACGAACCCCAAACAGGATAGACCCCCAAAAGAAAATCACCAAGACATACCATCAAACTCACCAAAACTAAAGGCAAAGAAAGAATCCTAAAAGCAGCATGGGAAAAATGAAAAGTTACCCACAAGGGGCAACCAAAAGAATAAGCTCAGATTTCTCGGCAGAAACCGTGCAGACAAGAAGACAATGGGATGGTGTATATAAACCCTGAAAGAGAAAAATTTCCAACTAAGAATTATGTACCCAGCAAAATTATCTCTCAAATATGGCAAAATTAGGACATTTCTAGATAAGCAGAAATTAAGGGAATTTGTTAAAACCAGACCAACCTTACAAGAGATGCTAAAGGGAGTCCTTTGGACAGAGGACCAATGACAGCAAACAACTGACCATTAACACACATGATGACATAACCAAGAAACCAACCCAGCTAGGGAAGTCTCCAAAGTAAATAAGCCTACAGGATTGTAAACAGGGAACCAGAGACATCAATTGACAAATGAAGATAACTACAAACCAAGAAGAGGGAAAAAAAACTGTAATTACAGAACTTCTAAATGGTAGGGAAGTCAAGAAACCTATAAGATGGAACAGACTGTTCTAAATTTGGGAAGAAATTATAAATCACAAGGTAACCTCAAAGAAAAGTGATAAACCTTCACATCAAAATAAAAAAGAGGACCAGCATAAATATTTAGCAAATACTAAAACAATAGCAATGAAGGAAGTGATAACATGATTTGTAAACAAAACAAGCTCAGCACAGAAAATTATATGGAATAAAGAAATCAACACCATGAAAAAGCACGTAACAAAATGACAGCAACAAATTCATACTATCGATAATTACATATCTGACAAGGGACTTATCTCTAAAATTTATAGAAAACCCCAACATCTCAACGACAAAAAGATGAACAATTGTTCTGGTTACCTAGTACCACTCTGACAAGAATATACCACAAATGGGATGGCCTTATCAAACAGGAGTTTATTCTCTTACAGTTCAGGAGGCTAGAAATCCAAGTTCAAAGTGCCAGGCTCTAGGGGCTGGGTGAAAGCCCCTTCACCTTGGGCTTCAGCTCTGCCTCTTGCTCCTGACCCACTGAAGCTAGAGGCATCTCTTCATTCAGGCAGCTACTGACTGCTGAGGCTAACAAGTCCAAGGTTGACAAATAAAATGGCACAGTCCCAGTGTTACCAAACCACACGACAGGCCGTTCATTCAAGTCCATTGAAAGTTCCAAGGTTGGCAGAGCATGGCAGTCTGGTGAACAATGACATGGCTACATGCATGGTTCAAGTGTACCATAAGCTAGAGACCATTCCCACAGCTGCTGCTTATATACGGGAAGCAGACTACATCCCTAAGGCAGCTACTCAGCTGCTCACAGTAGATTCCACCATGGAGTTGATTACCAGTCTCATGGGGAATAATACTACATCCAGCTGCCCAGCCACTCAACCAGGCCTAGCCAAGTTGACACACAATGTAACCACCACAACAATCCAATTAAAAAATCAGCAGAAGACATGAATGGACACTTCATGAAAGAGGATATTATGGCTACCAGCAAATACATGAAGAAATGGTCATGATCATTAGCCATCAGAGAGATGCAAGTCAAAACAATGAGATACCATCT